ACATCAGTTTTGACTAAAAACTTCTCGTGGATTCGACCCTTACTTACTGTAGCAATCTAGTGGTTTTTGAGGTTATTTTTTTATTAGTACAACGACATTGATGAAACAACCTAAAAACCCAAAGGAGAAGTGGTCAACGTGATGAAGAAATTCTTCAAGTGGCGTTTCATTTCTATCGCAAGGAAATCGAAAAGACATTTTGTAACGTCCCAAAAATACTAAGTAAAAATTTCATTTTTAATAAGGTAAAACCATTCATTTACTCATCAAAAGATAATCACGGTATAAATGTATTCTCAAAAACATCAGAGTAAAATCATAAAACAAATGGTATGGAATTCTCCGGTGGATGCAATGCAATCATGCCGGGACCTTCCCCTTGGAACAAGAAGTATCGGAAACAAATAAACTTAAAAACGTAAGCACAAAGCTTGGTGAGTTCCCCAAAATACCACATACCATACATAACAATACAAAACCTGTGAATGCTATGGTCCTCCCATAGTCTTACAATCATCCATTGTTATAGTCCTCCTGCAGTCTTATTTGCTATGGTCCTCCCATAGTCTTCCATACGGTTGCCATGGTCCTTCCATGGTCTTTTTTCCATGGTCCTCCCATGGTCTTTCATACATCCGCCATGGTATTCTCTTGGTCTTCATAAAAATGTCATGGTCTTCCCATGGTCTTTCATGCAAAAGTCACAAAGATAATCTAGGATCCTACACAGTATATTGAGAAGACTCACCTCACAAACAAAGTTGACTAACACCAAAACTCACAAGAAATCAAGGTTGGTACTACATACCACCTATCGATAACAAAAGGTCAAACCTTAGTCTACCATCTGAACCTATCGAATCTACCAAAAGTCAACGATCAGCCAGCGCGTCATGGTAGCAACACGATAAAACAGTCGCAAATGAAACCCACCACAACTTTGTGACGAGATACTCACCGCATTGTAGAAACTGTCCAAAACAACTTAATGGATTAAGTCCTTCACTCTTAATCTCCAGAGTTCAAAATCTCGTTTTGATGCATCTAATGGTCTTAACAGATAATGCTTCCAACTTTACCCATTCTTATCTCTCAAATGCATCCAAACTTTAAACCTAACTTCCAAGAGAACTAAAATACAAGCTTGACCTCAAGAGAACACATGAAAACACACCTTTAATCAAATACTCAATCCGAGAACTCATTTGGGTCACTCAAAGGTCAAAGATTTGCTCTTCTCCAAGGACACCCAAGAAAAGGACTCAAAACACCCATAATAAACATAAAATTAGATCTAACAACAAAAATATCAAGGTATGAAGTTTATACCTCAAGTGACTCAGAAATCTAAAGTAAATGATGGACCTAAGCCGACCCTTTGCTTCCTTGCACCAATATAGAGTTCCATCCTCCTCAAGCTTCACCAAAACAAGAGAATAAGCTCAAAAAATCAAGTATGGAGGCTAGGATTTAAGAGAGTAATGTTCTCTAAGGATAGTGGATTCCAAATGAGGCAACCCTAGGAGTTAGAGCCTTTAAATAGGGCTCAAGACCCGATTTCTAGGGTTTTGAACCCTAGCCGCCACCGCATTGTGGTGAGAGGCTTACCACAACATGGTGTTTAAATGAAACCCATACTGCAGTACACACTCTACCACATCGTGGTGTCGGAGAAAACCCAAAATTACAAAATTGCAAAGCATAAGACTTATACTTGAAATTTCGAATGTTACAACATTCAAGTTTATTCACCATTGGAAAGTGTTATCTTCTAGTCTAAAATGGAAAGAATTCTAATCAATCTTCATACTTGGAGGAGAAGCAAGAAAAAGAACAAAAACAACATCAAGTGGATACACAACTTCTTCCTATGCTCATATCGGGTTAGATTTGAATGACGATGACAAGCTCGAGTTAGAAGAAATTGTCCTACTGATGACGACGAGCTCATATGGGGTTATATAAAACTTCCAATCTATATGATTTTAATTTAATGGAACTGGGATGTTTGTCAAACTAAGAAATTTTAAGTTAGTCCAATTATATTTTAGGTGGTAGCAAGTTGTAATATTCCATAAACTATGTTATAGTTAAATAGAGGTCTTTTAGTGGTTTTAATTTACTATTTTTTGGTACTTAAGTATTTTTTTAGTGTGGTATTGTCGACCTCAACTCAAGAGAACCGAGGTAGTAGGAGGGAAAGAAAATTAAATTTATTTTTTTTGTTTACTTTGTGGACTCAAATGACCCTTCAAATTCCGGTTCTAACTCGGAAAAACTGAGAACTAAAGACTCGAAACCCGCAAAAAACTAAAACGGGTTTTTGGGAATAATGGAAACAAACAACCAAACCGATTTACATATTTAGTTGGTATACACCTATAAGGTTACGATTTCGGTTCTGGTTCGTTTTTGTCGTAAATTTTTTCCATCCTTATTATCAAGTGTGTATAACTAAGGATGAGCATTAGAACCGCCGTAACCGGAATCGGAACTGAACCGGAACCGGACCGGATTTAGTAATAAGGTCCGGTTACCGGTTCTCCACCTTTATAAAAAATCGGTTCCGGTTCTAACAACGCTTCGGTTCTAAAAATCCGGAACCGGACCAAAATTTGTCTTGCTTATTGAAATGCATATAACTCACTTATATGAAGTTATAATTACTTGATTTTTTCTCAACATGTAATTTGGTGTTTGTACTTCCCTGTAGACTGTAGAAATACATATTTTGGTAAGATATTGAGTCAACTACAGGCCCCAGAAGACATCATATCAATGCTGTGATTTTTCCGTTTCAGCATTTTGTGTTTTTTAATCTGTCCGGCTTTTTAAATACCCATAATTCACTCATATGATCTAAGAATTACTTGAATTTTTTCTAGAATGTAATTTGGTGTTTGTACTTCATTTTAGATTGTAGAAATACATATTTTGGTTATATATTGAATCAACTATAGGCCTCAGAAAACAGCATATCAATGCTGTGATTTTTCTGTTTAAGCATTTTGTTTTTTGGAATCTGTCCCGCTTTTTAAAATACGCATAACTCACTTATATGAAGTTAGAATTACTTGATTTTTTTTTCTAGAATGTAATTTGTTGTTTGTAATTCATTTTAGACTATATAAATACATATTTTGGTTAGATATTGAATCAACTATAGGCCTCGGAAAACAACATATCAATGCTGTGATTTTTTCGTTTCAACATTTTTTTTATAAATCTATCCGACTTTTTAAAATACGCATAAATCACTCATATGAAGTCGGAATTACTTGATTTTTTGTAGCATATAATTTGGTATTTGTACTTCAATTTAGACCGTAGAAATAAATATTTTTGATAGATATTGAATCAACTATAGGCCCCGGAAAACAACATATCAATGCTGTGATTTTTCCGTTTGAACATTTTGTTTTTTTAATGTGTTCCGCTTTTTAAAATACGCATAGCTCACACATATGAAGTCAGAATTACTTGATTTTTTTCCCAACATGTAATTTAGTGTTTATGCATCATTCTAGAATGTACAAAGTCATATTTTTGTTAAGTATTGGATCATATACATGCCTCGGAAGACAACATATCATCTGCAACATATCAACCTGTTCTAGTTTGAAAAATAACCAAAAAGTCGGGACCAGAACCGGAACCGACATAACACTGGTGGTCCAGTTCCTGGTTCCTAGTTCCTATAATATAGCAAATCCGGTTATGGTTCTGAACGGGTCGGTTCTAAAGCTCATCGCTATGTATAACTTTGGTTTTTATTTTTAAAGAAAAAATGCAAATTTTTTCTTTCTTTTAGTTTTTGAATAAAAAGAAAGTGTAATTTGGAACCAAGTTAAAAAAAACAAGCTCACCAACTACCAATAATTAAATAGGCTAAAAAAAATACAAAAATTATAAATTTCTCATGACCATAAAAACAGTAAATAATAAATATCGATTAAAATGCAATGCCACATTACTATATATGTTGTCCTAATGAGGCCATCTTGATGCTTGGAAACCCTTTATGCCTATGGTATTCTGCATTATATATACATATGGTGT